ATAATGTCACCTCTCCGTGGGCTGCTGTGAGGGACTGACAAGGTCATAGGTATCACCTAGTGCCTACTCATTTCCTGAAGCTCAGTAGGAAAAGCGAAGCCAAATGGAGTCCTGTTTAAAAAAAAAAAAAAAAAAAAAAGGTTAATGGCTCCCATCATGTGCCATTAACACCGGGACAATGTGGCCACCTCCCACCCAAAGTGGTCTCTCTTGGAGTAAGAGACAGTGCAGGCTGTACTCAACCCACACCCTGAGCTTGGGATTCTCAGAACGAGGCCTGCTTAGCAACAAAGGTGATTTTTATCTGAATGACAGACCCACAAGAGGCCACTCTTATTGAGGCTAGGAGATCAGAGCCTTCGTTTCCTGTCTTTGGTTAACCTTTCACCCCAAGACACACCATGACAGAGGAACGCCAACTCAGCCATGGTAAGTCACTAAGCGCAAGCCCAATGGCCTGTACATGAGAAGAAGCCTCCTCTTCTCCATGTGGCTGCACCCGGGTTTTATTAGGTCCCAATAAACAATGAAGTGGCAACAGTGGGGCCCTGCTAACATGTGAGGCAGTCATGCTCAGGGTCAAAGAGAAACGTGGGAAGTGTGGTAGCTGGACCCACATGAGGATGCAACATGGCGCTGGGGGAGAAGCCACTTCAAGGAGTGTTTTGGTCTCCCTCAGTGGGGAATCGGGAGACCTGGCTTTCACCTCAGTCTACCCTTACCTTGCTCCAAGGGTCTTGTTAAGTCAGGTGTCTGGTTTCTTTACCCATAAAATCAAAGAACTGGATTGGATCATCTATAGATTCTTCCCAGTCTCGATACCTTAGGATCATTGATCTTAGAGGCAGACCCACCTTTCTTAGCCCTTTCTCTTTCTGTGTTAGTTATTTGTGTGAGACCCCTCATCTCTTGTAGCTCCCACCATGCAGACTTCTACCAACACTATGACTTTTACTGCTCCAGAGTGTCTGGTCACTCCTGAGCACAGAGCCTGGCTGGGCAAGAGGAGGAGAGACTTGGGGCCATATTACTCAGAACACACCCACTCTCTCTGGTCAAACAACGCAACAACTCAACTCCAGAAAACTTGTAGCATTGAGAGCTTGGCTATCCCAACAACCTCTGGTCATCTGGGTTGGCTTCTTCTCTCTCAAAGCTTTTCCTCGCTCCCCTCCAATCCCACACACACCCCCTAGGTTCCCAACTCTCTAGCAAAATGTTAGACTGTCCCCATGCTGCTTGGCAAGAGACTAGAGCTACAACAGGTAGTTCTTCTCTGTCGTCTGGCATGTCCCAGGGTTGGGTAGGGGAGAGAGAGGTGGTGAGGCTGCACGGGCCAGGAGAAAAGTGCCTACAGAAGCAAGCTCCAGCTACATGAGGAGGAGATGACCCAGAGAAGGCAGTGCAGGTCGCCAGGACAGACAGAGAGCACTGAAAAGTCACAGAATTTTAGGAAGCTCCTTGAAATGCTACCTAGCCCTCTTTACCTCCCCTATTTCCTCAATGAGAAATCAGAGGGCAGGTGAAGTTCGGTGAGGGACCCAAGGCCACGCAACTACTTTTGTTGACAATCAATACCAGAATGTGGGTCTTTGGCTTCAACCCACTCTTCTCTCCACTCTACTCCGTTGACCTCAAGACCTAGTTAGGTTACTCTGATGAGGCCAGCTGGATCCCCTACAGACTCTAAGAAACATGACCCCAGTGCCACTTAGGGGAAGAGCAGGCCCGGAAGATACTTTGATAACTGTCTCCTGACCCCATGCGTTCCTTCCCCAGCTGACATGTCTAATTGTTCTTTCTCCAGCCCTCCCTGCAAAATCTTGAGGAGTTCAGAGGTCAGTGAGAAGGGAGGGGTGGGCCTTCCTGTCCCTACAGAATTCTGAATATCTAAGATAACCATAAGGATCTCTCTTCCTTGGTCTAAAGGAGGTTGGTGGAAAAAAGTAGCAGACTGAACTAACTCAATGGAGGCCTGACCTTATCAGGCCAAGAATAGTCATCACAAGCAATTAGATGGGTCATCTGAATGTTTTTAACACCAAACAGTAGGATTTGCCCCTGTCCAGAACCTTTCAAAGACTAATGATCACATCAACATCAGGAGAGGGACGCTCAGAGTAAAAGATTCAAGGAATTAATTATTCAGCGCTCATGACCCAGTTCCCGGAGGTGAGGCTAGGTGAGAAGAGAACTTACCAGCTCCTTATCGTGGCAAGAAATGCAAATACTTCACAGAGTAGTGTTCCTTTTGCTGCCAAAGAGGATCCATTTATGGTTAAGAGTGCCTCCCACCCATCCCCCACCCCCCCCAAAGAGCCAAAGTTCACTCATTCAACAAATATTTATTGAGCTCCTCTTAAGTCCTATGCCCTCCAAGGATTTACATATGGCTGGGGCTTTGCAGAGTCTAAAGATCATGGGATTTATAAACAGGCGGCCTGGGCTGTGCCCCAGCTCAGCCCTTAGGCAGCTATACTACCCTGCACAAGGTAAAAATTTAAGTTAATTTTCTCATCTGTGAAATGGGAAGGAATCCACCTGCTTATTATAAAGTTGAAATGATCTTTATAAAATGTAAACTGCAATGTAAACCCAAGGCATAAACAACAAAAGACACAACAGTGCCTGCTTCTCCTGCCCTCGAGAAGTTTATAACCTGGATATCTTTGGAAAATCACCCAAGGTACATATTTGGCAAACATCACATTCCCTATAATTTGAGCAAAGGTTATGTTTCAACCTGCCAGTAGAGATGGGGCCTGTGGTCAGTCCCAGCCTTCTGTCTGGAAGCCCCAGAAGTGGCAAAAACGGCAGAGTAAAAACAGAGTAGCCGGGACCTGCCTGGCCCTGTATCATTCCTGGGTGAGTAAAAGACCCAGCAAAGCCTTATGACTGAGACACAGGAAAAGACCAACTGGAACTATGGTCAATCAGAAACAAAACAAAGTTCCACAAGAGCACAACAGGAATGAGCCAGCACACACATCCCTCCCCATATGCATTTCAGACAAATGCCTGACCCTCCTCTATGGACATATTCTGTATTCTGCATTTCTCCAGGAACAAGGAGGGATTCTCAGGCCATAGCAGACGGGCTGATCAGGACCTCTTTGCCTGCACACTAAGAATCAGAATTCATGCAGTAGCTTTTCCCCAGGTCCAGCCAACCCCTTCGCAGCCTGCTGTTCAAGATCTCACCTCCTATAGATCCTCAGTGCCCACCAGGCCAGCCTCTAAATGCAAGGCCTGATTGCCTGCTGCTCCTCCTTGGGGATCTCCACCCTGCTCCAGCCCTGGGTTGGGCACTGATGCTCTCCCCTCCCCTCCCCTTCTCCACTATCCCCTCCACCAGGACCTGCCCTGGTCTCACAACTCCAGGAAAGCTCCTACAGGCAACGCTGGTTCTATTCATCTCTATGATCCCTCCGACTCAGGGCATTCTGTAAACGCAGAACGATGGTCCCCAAATGTTCTCTGATGTCTATATAAAGAAGGGAGGCAGAGGAAGAAAGAGGGGAAAAGGAAGGATGCTAGACAGGAGGTCCAGGGCCCACATTCCAATTTGCCATTTGGCACCAATTAGGTAGGTAACCTTGAGAAAGTATCTTCAGGCCAGGCCTCAGTTTCCCTGTCTAGTAATAAGGGGTTTGTGCTAAATAATCTCTCGGGTTCTCTCTAATTATAAACTTTGGTATTACAGAAACCGGACTAGCCTGGCCATAGGAGACATGTGTCCGGGTCCTTAGGAGCTGCCGCCGGGGCTGAGCCAGCTGACTGCCCAGATCTCAGTCTCCATGGTCTATAAAAGAAGTAAGGATAATAGGACCGCCCCTCCTGGGGAGTGGGGTCCCCACCAGACATGGCCATAGAGCTTCAGGAACCACAAAACCCTGGAGAAATCTTGGGGTTCGAATTCTCTCAGTCAACAAAGAGCTGCTGACCCCTGCCACATGCCTCATACGGTGCTTCCAGCATGGTGCCGTCTCATACAGGAAGGCTGGACGATGGATCCATGCCCTCAGTGTTCCCACAGCTAGGGACTGAGACAAACAAGCAGACAAACCTTAACTCAGCCAGTCAGTCATGTAGCTGGCATCTGAACAAAGCAGCTATGGGAGTACAGAGGAGGAGGAGGAGCCAACTCTGCCTGCAGAAGGGAAAGAAGCTTCTAGAAGGAATGGCATGTCCCCAATGTGGATATCTGTTCCAGGAGTTATGAGACCAAAGCCAGGGTCAATGAGAGAGAGGCAGAAAAATGAGGCTACAAAGTGAGGTCGAGATCTAATAGGAGGGGGCCTGAAGGCCACCAGAGGAGTGATGGTCAGCCGATCTTCCAGAAAGGTCTGGCAGCACCTTAGAGGACGGAGCAGGGGAACAGAGTGGAGCTGGGGAGAGTGGTGGAGGCTCCCATAAGAGTTCGTGAGGGCGACTATGCCAACAAGTCATTATCCATCACTGTCCATACCTGGCTGCCCTACCTACGCCTCTGGGGACTTGCTGAATCTACAGATAGAGCTGAACAGCTCTGCTGTCCTCCTCGGGGAACCCAAGCAGAGGAAGAGGCCATAATCACATTTGTAAATCTCGGACGCACGCTGCAGTGCTCCGCAGTCACTCCCTCCAGAAGCTGCCTGGCTAGATTCTTGCCTGGACCCACACCTGGGCCAGCCAGAGACGGAAACACCATCAGGTCTGGGACTGGAGTCGGAACAGTCTAAGGGGACAAGGGGCAGAAAGCCCGCCCACCTGAAGGCCACTGACGTAGGTCCCAGACATACCACGGATTCAACCCCTGCCTCCCTCCCTCCTCTGACAGCACGGAGAGTTGTGGGACAGACAGAGAGCCAGGGAGGGCAAGGGAGGCCTTCACCAACCAGGGTCTCTCCAAACTAGGTCACATTCACTTGGGCTTAAAGAAAGAGCACAAGCACCCCTACACTTTCCAAAGCCTGAAGCCCGCTCCTCAAGCACAACTCAGCAACATGAAAGAGACTTACTTGATTCGTAGGCATCACAGTGACTAAAGTCATCTCCTCGTGGGACAAGCCAAGCACAGGTTGCCACGTTCCCTTAAAGACAAGAGCCAGGCAATGAATGTCAGTTACACTATCTTATGTTATAGCCTCCTATCTTCTCCCGGCCACAAGGTCCCACAAGCTGGGGACTTTACCCCATAGCAACACTACTCAACAAGAGGAAATGCACAGGGAATTTCTCTCTGTGCTCCAAGTTTTGCATGTGAAGACATGAACTGCTAGGTGGTTAAACATATCCCACTGTGTCTGCTGTATGGGCCTCCTAGGGTTTATTACATCACTAGGCAAAGGTTTACAGAGAAAGTCAGAGGGGTCTGGAAAAGATTACTTCAGTAGCTCCTTTAGTAGAAACAGAAAGTGCCAGAATTTCTAAGGTGAAGACATGTTGAAAGTAAGTAAAGCTGGTGTAAAAACTTGGTAGTAAGTCACCAGTGTGAAGCCTGCCATATTTCCCAAGGTGGAAAGGGTCCAAAGCACTAAATAAACTAGGAAGTTCTAGAAGCAGACCATCTGGTCATGGCAGAGTTTCCTAAACAAACTACTCTCTTGGCTTCCCTTGACCACCCGGATGGTTTGGTCATATCCTCCTGCTTCTCCAGAAAAATGTCCCCACACCTGTTTGGAAATGGAGTCCAGTGTTCTAAAGCACTTCTAAGAATTTACTTTCACAACTCCACATTTCTGAGAGGTGGCCTCAAGAGGACAAAAGTCAACACAGAGGAGAAATGAGAGATGTCCAAGAGGTAACACATATTCCACAGACATAGACGTACTTTGCTCCACAGGGCAGTGGGCCGACCTGCCCACATGGTCACACTTGTATTTTCTCTGTACACCAGGGTCTGTGTGTAGAGCCTGGGACTTGAACTCACTTTCAGAATTCTCAGTCTACGAATGGGAGAGCAGCTGCTATCTACTGAGCACTGGCTGAGCATGGAAGGCACACTGGTAGACCAGATTCTATTCCAGTGGCTCCTCACAGACTGGAAGGGAGGCCTGGAGAGCAGAAGACCCCTGCCCCAGCTCCATGGCACAGCAGGATTCAAGCCCAGGGCTGGTTGACCTAGTGCTCACCGGCTTCCCAACCACATCGAGGAGAGTGGGGTCCCAGCACAGCCCCCAAGCAGCCTGGTGAGCTCCCAAGGCAGCCACTTGGGGAGAAGTTCCAATCACCGCCATCATGATCATCATTGTCAAGCCACACCTCTCAGGCCCGTGGCAGTGGACAAACAGGCTGGCCGGCCTCACCCGCATTCTATCAGCCTGAGCTGTCGGCTCAGAGAGGTTGAAGGACTCCACTTCCCTGCCCCACTGCTTCTCAAAAGAAGAACACGGCACTGTCTGCACAGTGGGATGCTGGTGGGCATTCCTGGATGGGTCTGTAAGGGCTGACCATTGGTCAAATTCCCATAGGACCTGGCCACATTGGAATCCAGCCACAGCAAGGACCAACAAGGACTTTGACCAACAGCTAAACATACTTCAGACTCCCCTTAACTCCACTAAACCAGAAGGTCCTAGGGCCCAGCACCTCCCTTCCCCTTGAGAGGGTCTCAGTTTCCTTATCTATAAAATGAGAAGTTTGACTTAATTGGTGATTTCCTCACCAAAGACTCCCTTCTAGCTGCTCCCCTCCAAGGGCTCAGACTTTAAGAGACACCTACAAAGCTCATCAGAAGTTAAAAGGAAGAATTAAAAGGATTAAGCCAAGCCCAGGCACTGCAGGGGGTTAGCTCAGAGGATCCTCCCAGCAACCTTGGGAGGCAGGGTACAGTCAGTGATGGGGGAAGGGGGGGGATGCCGGGGGGGACTGAGGTATGGCCAGGCAAGCGCCTCACTTGGCCACAGAACCTGGGATTCACAGCAGAGCTGGCCTCAGGCCTCGGGGTGTGTGTGCTCCTTGACACAATGTTTCCCTTTGTAACAGGAGGAGGAAACAATGTCTCCACTCAGACTTGTCATCTTGCCTTTCCCAAGCAAAGCACCAAGTCTCCAGGCCCCTGTGCACCTGACTTGGGTGGTTCAGGAAAGATTTCCTGCGTGGTTGAGTCACCTCGGGAACTCGAGGTACATGAGAGTACCTCAGGGAACCTTTCTCTCCACTGCACTCTCGGCCAAGCTCCCCAGAGTCAGGGTCTTCATGGAGGGACCCCGAGCCCTTGGAACAGGGCCTGGCACACACCAGCTGCTCAGTCAGCATTTGCTGAATGAAGGACTGCAGAACTCCAGAGGTGAGATGCACTCAGGCTCGTTCAAGAACGCTTTGGTGTAAGTTAGGGTGAGACACCCCAGCAGTGGCTTGGAACCACAAAGCTGGCCCCTCAGCAGCCAAGGTCTCCAGCCCACACACCCCAACCCCCCAGACAGAGAAGGAAGGCTCCGAGCCTGACCCAGGGATCAGGTGAGCAGCTGCTAGAGCAAGAGAAGCATCTGAGCATAAAGGCCACCCAGCGAGGTGGCCATGGGCTCAGGCCCAGAATCAGGCAAACCTGGCTTCCCACCTCAGCTTTGCCACTTGAAATTAGTCAGATGGCCCCTGGCAAGTCCCATAATTTCTGTGAGCTTCCTTTTCTTATGTAAAAATGGGACTAATGTTAGTACCTACTCCGAAGGTTTGTTGTTCTGAAGAGGAGGGGAGAGAATGTGGTTCAGGAGGCAGCCTGTGCGTGCAGCTCACACTCACGGAGAGGACATGGGTCGTGACTGTCTGCACTAGAGTGGATGGTAGAGAGCACACTCGGAATCCCCTGCTTGGGTGTGAGCCCAGCTCTCCTACTAGCTCTCTGTGTGACCTCGGAAAGGTTGCTCCACCTCTTTGTGCCTCAGCTCCCCAGTACAGTTAACAGGATTGACTGCAAAGACTAAATGAGTTATGTAGGTAAAGACTTAGAATAATGCCTGGCACAAAATAAGCACTCCAGACCAGGGAGTTAGTATCATTCTTAATTATTAATATCACAAGCATCCTTCTCCCTTTGTTCCAAAACAGAGTCCACCCTACCTCCCACTCCTCAACCAAAAAGGTAGGTATGGGACTCAGGATAGGTTCATTCTGAGTATCTTCCCTCCTTGGCCACTATCTTGAGTACAAAGGGTATGATGCACCTGTTCTCAGTTGTGCCAGGTTCTTAAATTTGAAAGCCTGGAGAAGGCCTGGTCCTCTTGGAATGGGTGGAGAGCTGTGTGGGGTTAGCTGGGAGCTGCCCGAGGCCATGGGCCACTGAGCAGGAGATGCCAGAGCTCACCTGTTCTTTTCCTGGTACTGGATTCTGTAGCATTTCCTTTGAGTCTGAGTCTCCCCTAAAACTTTCCAAGGCATCCCATTTTTGCTTAAGCTCATTCAAGTTGGGTTCCTGTCACTTGAAACCAAAGGAGTCTCAACTAACAATAGCACTCAGCAACTGGCTGCTTCGTTACCAAATCCCACCCGGGAAGAAAAGCCAGCTGCACATGCTCAGTGAGCCCCAGACAGCCAGGGAAAAGTGAGTGTGGTCAGCAAGGGGTCTCTGCAAAGCGAAGCAATGGGAGGCTGCTACAAGCCCCTGCCCCATGCCCTTCCTGAGAGATAAAGATGCTGCAACTAAAAATGGAAATCGCCCCGTACTGAGACCTCTGGCTGGGAACCCAGCCTCTGACATGGGTCCCTCTCACCCCACCATGAGAGGTCTGAAAGAGGAAGAAGAGAAAGGGAAGCGGATCTGCATGGTCTTCACAGCGGTGTGGAAAAAACTCCAGGCAGTTGCTTGAGACAACGCTTTTCAGAGGAGGAAGGAAAGTGCTTTGGAGAAGGGAAACCACCTTGTCTGAGCCCTTAAATTCGAGATAATTTCCCTGGTGCAATCGCCTTGAACTTGCAGCACAGTCCTAGGAGCTGGATGCTCATCCAACCCATTTTTCAGTGGAGGATACTGAGGCTCAGAGAGTGCCATGTCTAAATCATCAAGGTCATGCTTCTAGTGCCCGCTGCCCAGTCGACCCACCAGGGATGCTGCCATGGATGCCAGCATGCTCGGGTCCTGAGCCTGAGGCCTCCTCATCACCCAGGCCTATGCCAGACACCTGGGGGAGATGGTCACATGCTGCTGCCTCTCACTTACAACCTGCCCTTCAGCCCCACCCAGAGACAGCTTCCCAGAGGAAGGGGCTGCCTTCGGGTGCTAACAGCACAGGGAGCATCATGATATCTGGAGGCAGTCCCTGGGCATGTTTCCTTCATCGGTGACTTTAATCCCCAAGAACCATGGTGTGATGTCATGGGCATGGCCCATATCCATAGGTTTTAACCAGAATATGCCTGTCAGAGCCCACGCAGTTTCCTAAGATTTGGTTTTCTGTTTTTTTATTCTCAGTCACCTTTCCCAAGAGGTCTGACTTGACAGGTGCAACTACAGTGCACCACATAGTACTGTGCTCAACAGGGTCTCATCTTCCCACCACCTTCCAGCCAGTCTACTCCTGTACCCCCAGGCCCTCCCACAGCTTCCTCTCAAGTCCTTCCAGGAAAAGAAGCTTCACCTTCAGGTATGTCTTAAAGAGTTACAGAGAAATAGCAATAAGAAAAAACCAAAACCCTCTCCTGGGAGCAAAACCCACTGATTGCCTCCCCATGTCCCGCAGCATTAGCCAGGGGACAGACACACACCTCCGCACGCCGGGTCCCCGCACCGGAGTCCCCGCACCGGAGTCCGTGCATAAGCGGAGGGAGGCCAATGCAGACGTGAACTTTGGCTGGTACAGACGGCCTCAGCTGCCACAGCAGGGGTAGGGACGACACTCAGATCAAGCGGAGCAGCCCTGGCAGGACACGGGCTGTCCCCGTGGGTGTGCAGGAGGTTTGCAAAGCCCTTCCGAAGAGGCCTCCCCCACGGACCCACGCAGACACCCACATCACAGTGCCACATGGTGCCTGAGCCTCCTGCCAGCTGGTGGCCTGCTTCCTCTTTGTTTTGGAGGAGCTGGGTTCAGGCAGTGGCTATCCCAGTCACAGGGGACTATCCAGACAGGTATTTCCCTTACTCTTCTTTTTCTTTTCA